TATTCATGTCATTAAGGTCAGCTCTACTTTGAGGAAAACAGTCGTATTTTGAGTGTCTTTCAACACTATATCTTACAGTGTTTCGCTGCTGTTGATAAGATTTTTAGTGGTCAGCCATACAGAAGTGGTCTCCTTCTCCTCCTTCCTAGTTTGTCTTTGTCTGGAAGCTCCTCTGAAATCTGTCCACTATGGGTGATCCTGCTGGTATTTAAAATACTGGTAGCAAAGCTTCTAGAATCACAGCAACACATAAGACACCACAGTATGACAAAGGAGAGGTAGAACAGTGAACACAAGCCATTGTGGGAAAAGAAATGCAGGGGAACTCATGAGTCCATACCAGTAATAAATGAATCAGTGAGGGAGAAGAGAGAACACTTGTTTACAATAGACTGTTGTTGAGTGCCAACTAATATGTGTGGAAGGATTGAATTGGAATGTTACCAAATTGTATTGTAAGGCTTGGTTCATCCAAGAATCATCAGTGGATGCTAAATCTAAGGGGAAATTTTAATGAGGAACAGGATATTTGCATATTCTTTAATTTGTCTCTCCATAAATTGCTTACTTAGTAGCAGAGAAAAGCATAATAACTAAACAGTAGTGAAATCAGTCAACATCTTGACTAGATAATCAAAATGAACATCATCAAGAAGCATGCTATGCCTCTAAACATGACACCTTGAGGACAGAACATTGCTTATGTAGTATTCTATAGATCTTTAATACTATCATTTTAAAAAAAAGCAGCAGGGAAAAAGGGAGGAAGCCTATATTCTTAAAAACAATGTCACTATCGTATAAGGGAAAATGACAGTGGAGCTATCCCAGATTCAAAGAGACTAAAGAAGTGAGTAGTTGATCCTAGAAGGTATCGTATACTGGAGTGCACACACACACACACAAAGGAGGAGGGGGTTTAAAGGACATTACTGGGCCAGTCTATGCAATTAGATTACAGTTAGTTTGGTGCTGTAGGATAAGCACTAGACAGCTAACCAAAGGGTTGATGGTTCAGACCCATCAGCCACTCTGTGAAAATCCTACACAGGGTTGTTAGAGTCAGAATGGACTCAGTGGCACTTAACAACAGTACCAATATTAAATTTTCTGAAGTTGATTACTGTTTACATACGAAAATATCCTGAATTCTGAGGAACACTGAAGTGTTGGCAAATAAAGGGCCATGATATTTGAAATCTACTCTCAAATTAATGTATGTGTGTAGAGAAAGAGTGAATGAGAATGCAAATGATAGAGCAGATGTGGTAAAATATCGACAACGGATGGGTTTGAGTAGGGGGTAGAGGGTCTTTTTTTGTTATATTATTGCTGTTTCCTGATAATTTAAAATTATTTCCAAATGAAAGATTAAAAAACAAAAAAGAATATGATAATAGTGACTAAGTGTTCCACATTCTTTGGTGAAAACTCATTGCCATCGAACAAGATTCTTGTTAGTTGGTGACTGAGAGAGCCAAATTCACCTTTGAAAGCCCTAGTCTAGGTTGATAAAATAGACTTGCTGGTTTTCTTGGCCTTTTATCCTAATGCTGTTATTTGAATTCCATAGAACTGTACCCCTAGGCAATGAACCTACTTAAGCACCCCTAGCCTCTATTCTGTGTCCACTTCTCTCAGGGGAAGACATTTTTGGTGTTGTATACCATTCTGTCAGTTGCAAGTAATAGCGATCTGATGGGACATAGAACTTCCTCATAAGGCCTAGGTATTAGCCGCCCTAAAGACTATCTATGTACGCAACACACACCCTGAGTGTGATCTATAGACTCATCTTATTTGAGTGCAATAAAGTTGAGTAGCTTCCATGCCTAGAATAGGATAAATTAAGTTGCATGTCATCGAGAGCTCATGGCCTCAGAATTGGTATTGAAAGACTTTGGCAGGAAGATAAAAATAGAAGTCCTTAGATAGAGCTATGCCATGAACTGCACAGCATACTCTACTAATGATTTACCCAGGTGTCATCAACCAGAAAGGCATGATGTTCTTTGCAGTAAGCCAGAAAATACTGATACTCTTGACTTCATCGAAGAAATTAGAAACTCATTAACAGAGAAGTTAGTTTTATTACACACACACACATATATAATTTGTATGGTGATGTAGAATAAGCACTGGACTGCTAATCATAAGGTTGACAGTTTAAACCCACCAGCCACTCTTTAGAAATCCTATACAGGGTCACTATGAGTCAGAACTGACTCAATGGCTCTTAACAGCAACAACGTATGTTGTCAAGTCAGTCCCAACTTATAGCGACCTTGTATACGGTTTCCAAGACGTGGCTTGTGAACTTGAACTGCCAACGTTGAGATCAAACTGACTTTTCAGTCTAGTGCCACACCAGGACTCCATATATACATATACACACACCTGTACATATATAGAGGGTCCTGATATGACAGCGTAGTATAAGCGCTGCCCTGCTAATGCTAACTACAGGTTAACGATTCAAACCCACCAGCAGCTCCTCAGAAACCTTACACAGGGTCACTATGAGTTGGCACAACTGGATGGCACTTAACAACTAACCATAAGGTTGCTTGTTCAAACTCACCAATTGCTCCTCAAAGACCCTATACAGGCTCACTATGAATCAGAATTGACCCAACAGCACTTGACAATTATATGTATATAAATCTTCACATCTGAAAAGACATACCTGAAATAGTTTTAAGAAACCAGGTTTTCTAGTTTTCCCAATTAGATTCATCTGTTATTCATTCAGTTTTATTTTATTAACTCCTTGGTAGGCAAACAGTAAGAGGCTCCCCACAGTTTAAAAAAAAAAAAAAAAAAAAAAAGGTTATACGAAAAAGAAAGTTAATTGGAAAAAAAAGTCATAGTTTTTTTTTTTTTTCCTGGGATTTGGGGAAAAGACTTGCAAATATCAGACTTGCAAATCATAGTACTGGAAGAACTTTAGAACAAGGGACACTCGGAGTATGGATGATCTTCCCCAACAGCAAGCAAAGAGGAACTGTCATGAGTAGTCTTTTGAAGACAGAACTACCAGAGTTAGTGTAGGAAGTAAGGCAAATTCTCTTCTAAAGGAGAGTGCTGTGAGGCTTTGAGGCAGCCAAAGGAAGTGGTAGAAGCCCTTTAACTTGCCAACTAAAATAGGAATGACCTAAAAGAGGCCAGAGAGGGCCCTTTGGGGGTCCTGCTGGCCCAGACCAACCAGTAATGCCTATTTGTCTCTCTCCCTCCCTCCTCTTCTCATCTTTAACATTCCTTTTTTGGCTGAGGGTATAGGGGCTTTTCTCAGTTTTAGGGTTGGGACTTTTGCCAATTCCCATCCTGCTGGAGGAAGTTCATAACAGCCATTCTAAGAGAATGTTTGGGAGTAGATACTTGGCTGAGTAGAGCAAGGCCACACTGCCCGCTTGCCCAGCTGTACAGTGAGGAACAAAGGTGTTCCCAGAACCCAGGCTCTGGCATTGGATTGGACTGGCACGTTAGACCTTGTAGCCTTTCTCCTGCCCCATCATTGTTTACTTCTTCAAGGGGAGAAGTAGGGAATGTCTGCATCAAAAAGCACGTATATTTATCTCATTGTTGGAAAGGCTGCTTAGAGGACACTTCTGTGCAGTGATGTGAGTCTGGGAATGTGCCCCTTCTAGAAGTTTTAGAAAGGTGCTCAAGTTTCCCTTTCTTCACACACACCTTAGAAATGCACTGAATACTTATATGCCTGAGGCTGAGACTGATCGGGAAGGAAAGACTTTGGCAAAATTTATTTAGGTTCTCTAAATCAGACTCTCCCCCTGGTTTCAGAACTCAACATAGCCTCAGAAATGCTTAGGAATGCACCTTCAGTTCTTGGCAATCATTTTTAACACCAGAACCCCAATTCAAGATTCTACACCTCATTCATGGACTAAGCCTGTTTCCCAGTCCTGACCTACCATGGCCCTGGTTTCTATCGGCTTAGCCTGTTTCCACATAAGTAGAATACATATTGCCTCATAGACATGGGGGCTTCAAAACGTTCATAGAAAGACTGGAATGAAGAGAAAAAGGAATGCTTCCAAGAACTTTCTGAAGTCCCTCGTAAATGCTGTGGAATATTTCTGCAATGATTCATTGTTTCTTTGTTGTTGATGTGTTCTATTTGTATATAGTTACTAATATGTTTCTGTATGAACTGAGTAACTTGGACAAAGTCAATACAGCAAGTAACAAAACTGGTCATTGAACAGCTCAGACCTTCTACCTTCAAAACTGATACAATTGTGTGTGTGGCCCTGGACTAGATGCATCTTAGTTTGCTCATTGTTCACTCTGACCTCCTAGAATGGTGCTTGGCACATGGAAGACATTCAGTGAGCTTGATTCAGTGGATGGGTGAATGACTATTGGACTAGCCTTGTGCTTCAATGTAGCCCGGGGTTAGCGTCTTTACAGGCTTACTTCTGAGAACTCACTACTGGTGTGTATGTAGTCTTAGCAACACAGTTGTGCTTATGGTTGCTATGACTCTGCCTGCTAACGATTACTCATTTGTTTTCTTAATTGCGTTATCATCTGCCCTCATTTTCTCTCTTACTATATTTTAATCTTATTGTGAAATTGTACATTGTTGTGTGCTATCCAGTTGATTCTAACAATTAGCAACTTAGAAGGCAGAGTAGGACTGCGTCATAGGGCACCCAAGGCTGTAAATCTCTACAGGAGTTGACTGCCACAGTTAGGAACCAAAACCTTAACCGCTACACCACCAGGATGCTTAAATGTAGTGTTGTTGTTGTTAAGTGTCATCGGGTTAGTTCCGACTCATAGGGACCCTGTATAGCATTTCTGAGGAGGGGCTGGTGGGTTTGAACTACCAACCTTGTAGTTAGCAGCCTAGTATTTATCCTAAAGCACCACCCCAGAACACCAAATGTACTGTTAGCTGATGATAAAGAATTATATGGGGTTCTAGGATCCTGGTTTGTCTTGTCTGTCTGATTAATCCCTGGGATGTTTTACAGCTTTTGGATCTCTTCATCCAGTGGGACTGGTCAACCTATCTTGCTGACTATGGTCAGCCCAACTGCAAGTACCTGCGGGTAAACCCAGTGACAGCTCTAACCCTGCTTGAGAAGTAAGTATCCAACCCCAGTGGTCTTTGTTGGGAGGTGGAGTAATGGGGGTGGGAATTTGGGATTTTCCCTTTTGATGACACCTTGAAAAGACAGCAGAGTGGACCTTTCTTGAAGTTGTCCTTAGATGCTAACAGTCTCCATCTGTGGACTTAGCAGGCCAATCTTCCTCTAGTAGCCTTTTTAATTCTTGAGCACCAACAAGCTAAGCCAATTATGGGTAAAAATTAGACTCTCACATTTCCATGACACCTAATAGGACCAGCATGTCTTTAAGGATGACAGGAGAAGGAAGTCCCTTAGTGTGGGGCCTTAGTAAACAGAATGGGTCATTTGGAGTCTGATGCTGGACAGGCAGCCCATAGAACAGGTGACTATTCTAGTTCCTAAAAAGAATACTGAAACCTTCTGCATGTGCCCTCAGATTGAGCTCCTTTCTTACGCTGATTGTCCTAAGAAAGCTGTTGAGAAGGTATTCAATTCTTGCCTTAGGCAGTCACTAGCCACCACAGAGATTGGGTTAGCAGTGCTCTAGGAGTCCTGGTGTGGTGCTGTGGGTTAATGCACCAGACTGCAAAGCCATTTGAACTGCAAGGTTGGCGGTCACGCTCACCAGCTGCTCCTTGGAAACCCTATACAGGATCACTGTGGGTCGGAACCGACTCGATGGGGCTTAAAAACAAGAGTATCTCAGAACTAACTAGTATGTCAGCTACATGCTGGGGTCTGGCTTTTGCTAATTTAGTAGAGAGCTGGCAAGCCACAGATGCAAGTAAAAAGGTATTATTTTCTTGCAGCAGGTAATTCACAGCTGCATAGAAACTGCTGAAACAGTATATCCACGGGGGCGGGGGGTGGGGGGAGTCTCCAAAATGTTCTCAGGACTTTAGCAATGTATCCTGAGTGCCCTGCGTCTGCGCAGTATAGCAGGTCGATATATATATATGCCTGTCAAATATACCTCAAATCCAGGAAGGCAAGGCACAGTGTTTGGAAGGCCAGAATGGAGCTTGTACAGAGACAAGGCTAATGTGTATACTTCTGGCTATGAAATATTTGACAGGGAAGGAAATGGAGATTAGGCAAGCAGGATGATGCACAATATATGTTTGTAACCATGAGGCTGAGTCTAGAGGGCAACTTTCTCCTGACCAAGGCAGAGACCAATGTTTCCATTTTTAACTTTGTTTCCCATGGTTCTCTCTCCCAATGACCTTCCTCCCTAGGATATCTAAAGAGTAAGTATATTATTCACTTGGGCTTTTTCTATCACTTTGAGGCAAGTCCTCTGGTTTCCTCATTCAGACTAATGAATACACTAAGATCCCTACCCTGTGTGTTATCCTTGCCCTGGCATATTAATCTACTAAATCAGCCAGGTGCCAACTGTCTGTTTCTGTCCTTAGTATTTAGAGTAATCCTTAGCTTACTCATTCCTTTGGGGCTGAGAGCGGTGGCAGGGATTGTTCCCCATTAGTGCCAGACAAAGGATTGTTTCCACTTAGCTTCCTAGAATGTTCCTTACTCTTGCTTAAGAAGAACCTGAAGCTCAACCCTGATAAGAGAAAGATTCTCAGTGCATCCCCCTACCTCCTGGCGGTGAGGCTGTCTGTCGGCTTTAAGATATGGATCCTAACCTCTCTCTCGGAAGTCTCTTCTTTAGAAGCAGATTCAGCCCCAACTCTTAATTTTTAGAGTTCTCACTACGCAGCTAAAATAGGGAATCTTTTTGCTTTGAGTTGATGCTTGTATGGTCATTTTATTGCCCAAATAGGACTTGGGGTTCCCTTCCTTCAGCCAGTTACCTCTCTCAGAAGTCCTTTATTCTTGAAAATCACTAGATCTAGTAAGTAGTAACTCATCCACTTTCTGTAGACCAACCTCTCTCTAGCGTTCCATAGAGGCCTGGTGTGGCGCTGTAGAATAAGCACTAGACTGCTTAACCACAAGGTTGGTAGTTCAAACCCATCAGCCACTCCAGGATCGTTATGAGTCAGAACGACTCAACAGCACTTAACAGCAACAAGCCAGTAGCAAAGCCATGTACTAGCAATCAACAAGATTCAAAAACTTCCTTTTAATCATAGTAGGACCACAGGCCACCGAGATCATTGAAATCCATAACTCCCAGCCTCATAGGAATCAGTCCCTGTGCCTGACCCATTCCTGCTTTCTCCACAGCCAACTGTACCGCCAGGGCAGTCTCCCTTCTCGCCCTGGCCCTTCTTAGTACAGCTAGACATGGGGAAACTCAATGACCTACTGAGGACAGTCAAGAAAGAGACATTCCAGGAGAGCCCTTTCCACTGCCCATACTATTCTGTAAACCCAAGATTCCGACTGACTTTGACTATGGCCCTTGTGTATCATTGAGATGCGGCTGTAGTCAAAGTCAGACCGAATCTTGGGTTTACAGAATAGTATGGGAGGTGGAAAGGGCTCTCCTTTGATGATGAAGCATTCCAAGGGTATAAACCAACATGGCACCATTAGCCCTTAGGCATTTGAGTTTATCTTTCTGGTGCCTAATCCCAACTCCAAAGGAGCCCTGGTAGTATAGTAAATTACAAATTGGGCTGCTAACTATAAGGTCTGCAGTCTGAATCTACCAGTTGTTCCACGGCAGAAAAATGAGACTTTCTTCTCCTATAAAGATTTACAACCTTGGAAACCTTATACAGGATCATTATGAGTTAGAACCGACTCAAATGGCTCACAACCACCAATCCCAACTCCAAATTTTATCAGAGATTAAGTCTAGCCCCTGGGGCTCAGAGACTACCTCCTTCTTCCTTTTCTTTTACATTATTACTGGATCGTCCCTTCATGAGCTGAAAGTCAGCTTTGTCTGCCTCTTCGTAGGCTGCTGTGTTGTTGTTAAGTGCCATTGAGTCGGTGCTGCTGCTGCTTTGAGGAGTCATAAAATTAGTCATTACATGAAAACCGAAAAACCAAACCCACTGCCATGAGTCACTGCCACCAGAGTAGACCTGCCCCACAGGGTTTCCAAGGCTGGGATCTTTACGGAAGCAAGCTGCCTCATCTTTCTCCTGTAGAGTGGCTAGTGAGTGTGAGCCGCTGACCTTTCAGTTAGCAGCAAAGAGCTTAAGTGCTTTCCCCCCTTTTTTCTTTTTTCTTTTGTATTGCTTTGTGTTGATGCTGATAGATTTGTGTTGATGATTTGTGCTAGGTTTATACCTTACCCAATAAATGAAAGGGAATCCTTCTCTCAGACAAATAATTAAAATTTGGCCACTTGTACAAACATGATTGTGTAATTGTGTGTAAAGGACCAAATACAGTAATCATCACAGCTTTGAGGAGCCTCGTGCTTCCTTTCCCACTCACCCTAGGCACCACTTCTTCCTTCCAGACCCAAGCCTCACCACATGGGTTTCGATTCTTTATATTCAGTCCTTTGAGTTTTCTTGATGAGGAGTGCTAGACTGAAGGCTCTTGATCTTGTTCATCTATAGTAGTAGCTCACTCAGTTAGTTTGTGGTTGTCATGGTCAGCCAGAGCTATGCAGCTGTGGAGCTCACCAGACTGCCTTACCACATGGATATAAATGTCTTTGTGGGGTCTCCAAATTTTGCATCTATTGGTCTCTAATCTGTCCTTCCTTAAAGGGCCACTCCACAGAAAACAATGAGCCAGGGATGGCTGAAGACCTAGCATATCTGGGGGTAGTCTGCGCCAGGTTTCTTCCCTTGCCTCTTCTAGCCTGTCCTCATGAGGCCTGGGGAACAGTGAGGCGCCCCTAGTGATGGTAGTGAAGGCCTACCAACACCCACCCTTGTGAGAAATGGATCTACGCATTATTCATACTTTTCTGGGAAGGTGGTATACAGAGGCTGGCATCAGAGTTATCAGTCACCAGTAGCTGTCAGGGTTATGACATCTCTGCAGGAAGTAGCAGGTTCCTGGAGTCTGTCACAATGCCTTAGATTGACTGATGGGGGCACAATGCATTGATCAGATTTGAGGGTTTCTATAACAATCTCTACCTGGCTTTGATATTATTTAGAGCACAGTGAACACCCTCCATTTGACAAAACTGTTAGCTAGAACTCTCCATGGCTTACGCTGTAGGAATATGCCATTTATGGAACTTTAACATGACCCAGTAGTAGACAGTTCTCCAAAGGCCGGAGGTCTGTGGGTACAGACAGCCACTGAGAACTCTGAGGTTTATCAAGTGGGAGAATAGCCCAGCCCTTTGACATCTGCTTTCCACAGAACTATCTCTGGTAGCTACCTTACTGCTTATAGCTAGGCCCTTACCCTGAGACAAAAGAAGGATCACCCAAGCCCTTAGTTTTATTAGGGATAAGATAGAATATCAAGCTCATGTGATGTTTAGAAAGACACAGTAGCATTTGGTTATTCATGTTCTATTAGATTTGCTTATTAAGAGTACATTTTTGGCTTTCCTTTCAAATACTAGCTCCTAGGAGGTTGCAGCAGGATTTTCTATGTTATTTGATTCATGGGGTAATAAGTGGAGTCCCTGATGACACAGTGGTTAAGTGTTTGGCTGCTTACTAAGAGGGAGAAAGATGCGGCAATGTACTTCCATAAAGAAGGCAGGCAGTCTCAGAACCCCTGTGAGGCCGTTGGACTCTGTCCTGTAGAGTCACTATGAGTTGGATAGATATTCATTAAGAGCCTCTGGGTCATCAGTGCTGTGTCATGTCCTCAACACCTATAACAGCTATATAGCTGGGGAGACACAAGAATGGATTGGGAGGGGGGAGGGTGTAAAGGGATAAGAGGAGTATTCCCTCCAAAGCTGAGTCTTGACTAATTCCCCAAGGTGACTGAATCAGGAGGGTTGGGGGTACCATCCGAACAGCTTCCTGTTCCTCTCCCACTCTGAGTAGTGGGGAAGATGTGCTATACTGTTCCTCCCTCCTGCAGCTTCCCCTTCCACCATTGTCTCCTCAAACTCTTTGCCTTCTTTCCTTCCTTCTCTGTTTAGGATGAAGGACACTAGCCGCAAGAACAACGTGTTTGCACAGTTTCGGAAAAATGAACGAGACAAGCAGAAACTGATTGACACTGTGGCCAAGCAGCTCCGGGGACTCATCAGTAGCTACCACTCATGAAGGCTGGTCTCAGGCCTACAGAGGCTGTTCACTGCAGTCTCATAGTCCAAGACCCAGCCCTGGCTGGCCCTGCATTTGTGCATTCTTCTTCAAAGAGAGCATATGTATTTTTTTATTAACCGTTGTACAGTATTCGCGTAACCTTTCCCTATAGCAAAGGAGGCACAAGAATAATCAAGTGCATGAGATGTTGCTAGGCTGGGACTCAGGGGAAGTTATTACTATACTCTCTGTATTGTCCTAAAGTGATGGGATCAGCAATCCCAGTATGAAGAGCCAGTTTTCATCCATGGCTCCAGAGCTTAGGCCTGGGGCTCAGGAACTATATAAAATGAGGCCTTGGCACTGGGAGATAAGGAGCGTGGCAAAAGGCTAATAAAGGATATCCTGTTCACTCTTGGTTACCCCGTTGACCAAATAGGTAAGACTGATCCTTTTTTGAAGCAAGTTAAAGAAGGCATAAAAAATATTACTAAGACCAACATCACAGTTCTGAAGTTCACCTCCTCAGACCACTGACTTCCATTGACTGGCGAACAAACGTGGCATGTGGCAAAATGACAGCTTCACTCCAGTCCCCAAAGGATAGTGGTTTCTTTAGCCTAGATCTGACCAGGCTTTTAGGGTTGATATTTCTGGAGCAGGATAGAGCTGAGTAGGCAGTGGTAATCACTGAATTCCATAAGTAGCTCTTGGTTGCCCTCATACCAGGAATGCTGGGTCTTCACCCAAAGAGTTGTGCTGGATCGTCAAATCCAGGATTAATGGAATCAGAGCTTCAGTCCTGTCCCCATTTGTCTCGTTTCCGTGTTTCAGGGTCAGGGCACTTAGGTCACGGCACAGGTCAGCAATTACTTTCTACAGATCCTCACAATGAATCCCAGATTTGACCTCAAGTGTCACTGGGATAGGCTAGACTTCAAAAGCTTGAAAATGGCTCTCTCTTTACCCTTAGGGCTGAGGATTGCCTGGGATTATTCCTTCATGTTTTAAAAGTAGCTTTCTGGCCACCTGAAGGAAATACCACCAGTTCTGCAGTGTGAGAATGTCCACAGTTGGACTGGATGCTTCTAGTAATGAAGCTCCTGTCACCATGAAATAGACAAGGCCAACCATGATTAGTGGTTTGTTGCAACTTTGACTCATTGTCACACCCTGGATATGAAGCTCTTCTTACTCTCTTGCCCAAGAGTTCCATCTTATTTTGAGATCCACAGAGTCATCTTTTGGCCATACCTGAGAAAGATTGTATATAATCATTTTGCCCCAAACTCTAGAGTTTATACAAGAAGGCTAAACTATTAGACTTGCTTAGCTTAGAAACTATGTCCACTGTCCAAGAGGGACTCCTGAGACTTAATGCGAGGGTTTTGTTCTGAGGTCAGTAAGAGGAACCTGCACTTTAATACACTTCTGGAAGATGCTACTATGGCTGCTGGCAAGAGTATGTATTGTGAGTCATCAAACAATAACAGATACACCACAGTGGCATTTCCAGCTTGGATTAGTTGGAGGAGGGACTCATCAGATAGAATCCTTGAGTAAGTTTGTCAGCTACTGAATTGCTTCCAGAGAGGGCAGTGCATCCCCCTCTCACTCCCCACCTCCCACCCACACCATATCCTACCACAACTTGAAAACCGTGGGGAAGAGAATATGCACACGGGCCTCAGCCCTCCTCAGAGCTTGACAGGCCGGCTATATGTGTGCTCTGCAGAAGTCTGCTGAGTCTCTTCCTGAGGACTAGGCAGTGGGTCTTAGGGTGAGGGCTGCTACCCAGAACTCAATAAACCAAGGAAAGATAGGGGCTTATGGGAGTGAGAGCCAGGATGCCATCATCTTCCAACCTCTGGATGTTGTTGAAAACAGCGAGAAATGACTACACCAATCTGAAGTCCTACTGCTTTAAAAGGACCCCAAGGACCCCCTTTTACAAGGTCTGTTCAGCTTTGTGTGCCGAGTCTTTGAAGTGGGAAGGGAAAGAAGCTTAAGCATGTTGCAGTTTGGGTCTTTTGGGAGAGTCATCATTGCTGAGCTGGTCTCAGACCTCTGCCCTGGACGAACTGTGTTGTAGAGGACAAGTGAATAGGTTAGGGAAATGGAGATTCCTCTGCACCTTACACATGGAAGTCCCTCTAAAGAAAAAGCTTATTCAAGTTCTAGACTTATATGAGTGGACTCTTGGTATATCTCCTCACGCCTTTCAGTCTGCCTTCACTCCTCCCTTACAGAAAACAACTCAGTTTTATTTGGAGAGACTCTTGGTGATCCAGCAATGTCGGAGTTATTTAAGTTGGTGAATCAGGATTTTTTTTCATCTTTTGTCTTATATGTCTATAGCTGAGTCAGCCTTGGGTGGACTTGTGCTAAGTGTATACATGCCCATGCCCTTCAGATGGCTAAGATATGACCTCAAATGCCCAGAGATTAGAAATGGCCTGGAGGCTTCAATAAGAAGGCAAGAACATGAGTGGCTGGGGGCCTACCTGCCATCTGGTCAGTGTGAACCCTTGGCCAAGTTCTTGGGGAAGCTAAGTCCATGTTCCTGAAAAACAGTCTGGTTTTAGATTCTAGTGACTTTCAGTAGCAATAATGGCATCTTGCACAGTTTAACATTCACAGGATAGGTTCTTTGAGCAGACTACAAATGAAGTAGTTAGTAACAGGGAAACAGAACCTAGAAACTAGAACCAGCAGAGAATCCCTGTTGGCCAAGGGAATGGACAGCTTCCAAGAGATGCTCATCAGTGTTTTCATTGCATATCAACCCCTGCCCTAACAGTCTTCCAGGTCTAAAAGTCAGCCTAGCTTAACTGTATACTTGACAAGTGCTTTCTCAGCAAGCTCCAGACCCAGGGCCCTTCATCTCCCAAGATTGGCATTGGCCATGACCTTCCTCATAAGGCCTCTGAGCACACTCCCTGGAGCCTGCTGCAGAAATTCCTGTACCTTATTAGCCTTCTATCTCCCAGGACTCTGGTGGCTTTAGTTGCCTCTTTTTGAAGGGAGAGGGAGGGAGGTGAGTGCTGTGTTTGCAATTATTTTTCACTAATGTGTTGGGAAATGACTTTTTATTTTGCACAAGTAGTTGCACATTTATGGAGGAAATTTAAGAAAGTACATTTTCACTTTAAAGGGAATTCTTTTCTTGAAAAATCACAAGTAAAGCTACTGATGCAGATGGGCCGTATGGTTAATGGGAACCCTGTGTAGAAAGAGCATGTTTATTCCTCCTGTACATTTTCTTCTTTTAACTGCTATTAAACAAAAGAGCCTATGTACCTGTTAAAAAAGACACGTGGTGTCTCATGGTGTTTGTTTTGTTTTGTTCTTCCATCCCTTTTGCACAGTGCAGCTGGATGACAGACATTGTATCCCCAAGCGACTGGACTGAGGAACTAGATCAGGCAAAAGCTTTGGTGGGAAGGAGAAAGCCTGCCTGCCTGTCTGCCTGCCTGCCTGCCAGAAAAGGCAAGAAGTTCACATGTGGCTTTGAAAGTATCCCTAATTCTGGGTTAGGTCCCCCTATTTACCCCTACTGCCCCCATCACCTAGACACTTACCACTGGTATTACCATCACCATCACCATCACCAAGAGGAGCAGCTTTGAAAATGCCAACTTTATACAGAACACTAGACTAGACAGTGCAGGATCCAGGGTGCTTTCAAGTCTGGTCCTGCCATGAAAAGCCTCCCAATTCAGATGGAGCAGTGTAGGATTATCTAGGCTGGAGGATGGGAAGAGGTGAACCTATTTCAGGGCTCAGTGGAGGGGAGGGGAGAGGCATCGTCACCTGTGTAGGAGAGAGTGTGGTCAGGAAAGGCAGCACAGAGACAGACAGTAGGATGCTATTTATAGTGGGGCCTTAAAGAAATGAATTCCAGTTTTGCTAGGCTATGGGACTATTTTAGGTGCAGACCACAATACAGTGAACCTTGCCATGAGCATGATATGAGCAGGGAGAATAGTGAAGAACCTACTAGGCACAACTGGAATCAGAAAAGTCCATGTAACAACACTTAGCCTGCTAGGCTGCCAAAGATGCCAGGGGCATCGTTTAGAAACAGGGTCTGATGACCGCAACTGGGCCTCTATCCCTGCTGTGCACCTTACAGTTGGGTGAACTTGAACAATTACTACTACTACTTCTTGTTAAAGGAGTCCTGGTGTGGTGCTGTGGGTTTATGTGCTAGACTGCAAACTTGGTTTGACCACAAGGTCAGTGGCTCAAGCTCACCAGCCACTCCTTGGAAACCCTATGCAGGGTCGCTCTGGGTCGGAACCGACTCGACAGCACTTAACAACAACAACTTCTTGTTAAAGTGCCTTCAAGTCAGTTCCAACTCATAGCAATCCTTTATAGGGTTTCCAAGGAGCAGCTGGTGAGTTTGACCTTGCGTTTCAATCTGACTTGCGGTTTTGCTATAGCCCCACCCCAGGGCTCCAGAACTGCATAAGTACAGTTGGCCAAAGCTTCTCTGCCTTTTGGCTCCTAGTCCTCAAGCCCAGAACTGGGTTAGTGATAGTAATGTCCTTCAAGCACCTAGACCTAAGACAGATATGTTGTTGTTGTTAAATGCCAGGGAGTCAGTCCCAACTCACAGTGACCCTGTATAGGCTATCCAAGCAGCGGCTGGTGGATTTGAACGCCCAACCTTGTGGTTCAAACTGACGACATTGTGGTCCAGTGTTTATCCACAGCACCCCACCAGGACTCCAGGACAGGTATAATCCTTTCAAATCAGACAGCTGCTGGCTGGCCCAGGAAAGAGTCAGTCCTTTAGGCAGAATCTGCCCTTCAACACCACTCAAAACTTTCTCATTTTAGTGCCCAAACCTGTAGCTCCCTTTAGAACTCGGGTTCCTAACCAGGAGCCTGTGAGCCCTTGAAATGTGCGCGTGTGTGTGAGTGTGTGCACACACGTGTAGTCTTGCATCACCTATTTCTTTTTTTGGAAAGAGACTCATGGCTTTCATCAATGTCTAAGAAAGATTCAT